CTGCCCATATCACCTATCGAATTCTCCTTGGCTATTGTTCTTTAGTTCTTCTGATTCTAAAAGGGAGGTGGGAATGGAATGGACGTCTCCCAGGTGGAGGATGTCTGCTTGAGTTGCTTCTGTACTAATAGGACACCTTTTATGTTTTCTCCCCTTTGAAGGAGTGCAATGTTTAACACAAGTAACCACTAGGTGGCAGGGGTGTTTCGCTGCCCAGTTCCTTACCGTCTCTGCCTGGGTTCTCAGTTGCAGCAAACTCGGTTCCTTTCAAAATGCATTAGCTGCTTTTAAGGCAATTTACTTATCAACATGAAATTCAAGGAGAACTGATAAATTTCACTCAGGTGATCCTGAGAATTCAATGCAGTGTCACTAAGGCTGTCACAAGCTCTAGGGGTTTTATATTACTAAAGCAGTTTTATAGCCTTTCGCCTGAAAGGGCATGGGAAAAGTAAATAAACCAGTGCTCATTTAGGGCACGGCTGGTTTTTTCCCCCTCTAGTTAACACCCGGCGGGACAAAGTTCCTTTGGGTTAAGCATTCATGGGTGCTTAAGCTATCATTTCCTTAATAGGATTATAGACAAAAATGTCATTTTCCAATGAGGTCCCAAAAAAGTTTTCTTGGGGGAGATGGAATTTCGTTCAGTAGCTTAGGGAAGAGAAGGCGTGGGGTGTCCCTCCTTTCAATTACATCCCCCATGGGAATCCAGCAGGACATGCTGGGCCCTCTTTTGATAAAACAGATCAGAAGGTACCAAGAAGGAAGGAGAGCTAGAGGTCAGGCCAGAAGCATTAATATAACCTTCACCTTACAGTGCAGGGGATCAAGGGTGCTATCCATAGTGGATAGAACAAGATGTTTAACAGATCACTTAAACCTACAAAGGTAGATTTCATGTAGAGAAACACTGCCCTGAGTTGCAACGTTAACAGTAGAAGAAGGGAGGAGGAAACAGAATGGTGTAAAGTTTGTAAGTTAAACTTGAAATACAATAATAGAGTCTTTAGAAAATTATCTAAAATTGAAAAATCAACAAATGTATACAATTTGGAGATATGGAGGTCATCATCAAATGAACAAAAAGCATGAAGCATGAGTAGTCTTTGGCTCTACAGAGGAGCAATGGAGAGGGATCTGCAGGGGAGTGACTGGACTATGTGGCTTTTTTTATTTTTTTGGTATCAGGAATCTAACTCAAGCTTGCCAGGTAAGTGCTGCACCACTGAGGTACATTCCAGGCCCTATGTGATTTTTTTAAACTATGACTTTATTTTACTTTAAGCTTGGACTGTTGAACTGGGCTGGGAGTGTGGCTCAGTGGTAGAGTACAGTACAGGTGGGAGGCTTCCCTGCGTGTTTTCCTTTTCCGGATTCAGTTTGCTGCAGCATAACCACTACCATGACTTACAGAGAAAGCCTTTAATTGTCACACATATATTTTATGTAACTTGTCCCACATGGGTACTGTACAAGGGACTTTTTCTTTTCAGTACTGGGGATTGAATCCAGAGCCTCATGCATGCCAGGCAAGCACTTTGCCACTGAGCTACATTCCCCAGCCTTTTAGAAATTTTGTTTTGAGAAAGAGCACTACTGGGTTAGCCAGATTAGGCTCAAACTTTTCTCCTGCCTCAGCCTCAGGGTAGCTAGGATTACAGGCTTGTGCCACCACACCCAGGCAAGGATTCTTTTTAATCAATATTTTCAGAGCACATCATCAGGGTTTTTCTCATAGAAACTAAAACACTCTTGATTTTTGCAATAAATCAGAACTGTAAGGAGGGAATAAATTCATATTTACTACTTTTGTGGGATTCTAGCCCAAGTTCTTTTGCATCCATCTATTAGCAGAATATGGTTAATCTCAAGAAGCAAATCTGCTAGGTTTTGACCTTCAGGTTTCCTATTTTTTATCTTCTTTTCAAACCCATTTCTAATCTGTCAGCAATAACACAAGAATATAATTCTCACCACACCTATTCTTATAGTGTCTGAACCATCATTTCTTACTTGTACCATTGCAATAGCCTGGTTACTACCTCAATTCCTGCACCATGGCATTCTTCAGGGCAGTACCCAGAGTGATATGTGTATATACAGCCTTACTGGGGATTAAACCAGGGCCCTCACACCGCGCTACATTCCCTTTAAAAAAAAAATCTATTGAAGCAGGGCCTTCACAATAAGCTACATTCCCTTTTTAAAAATCTTTTTGAAACAGGGTCTTGATAAATCACTAAGCTGGGGTCTACCTTTCAATCCTCCTGCCTCCTGGAGTTATAGGCATACACACTGGGATTATAGGCACACACACCATTCCTGGCTCAGAGTGGTACTTTTTCATTGTAATGCATGGGGATAATTTGCAAAATATTGGCTTGAAGCACTCAACCCATTTTATCTTCTATCTCTGGCTCCCTCACTCACTCCACACCAAGCTCATGGCCTCTTGGCTATACCTAAACTCTGCTAAACCTGTTGCTGCCCTTGGTCTGGAAGGCTCTTCTCCCAGGTCATGACTTGAACTCTCATTTCCTCAGGATCTGCTCTGTTGCCTTACCAAAGAGGCCTTTCCTACCTCTTGACACAAAACTGATGTTGTCCTCCCTCTCTAGAACTTTCTATGCACCTCCACCCCAGCCTTGCTTAGTTTTTCTCTGTAAAACTTATTATCCCAGCAACATTACACACATATTTACTGAACTGTCTTTTCCATTAGAATATAAGCTCTAGAGCCTAGAATGAGAAGTCAAATCCTTGAGGACTGTTTTTTCATTGTTTCATTCCCAGTGTTTAAAAAGCCTATAAACTCTAGCACAGATGTCCAGTAAACTCTGTTGCTTAAAAGAAGCCCTAACTTGATAACTACTGGTGGGTGATATGCCTTACATTAGTATCTCCCCAGGTATGACACCTGTGTACGGGACATGATTTTTAGATAGGATAAAGATACACATTAAATAACATGAGAATGTTTTCTTTGCAATGTTTGATCCCTCTCATTATTTCAAGGTCTCATTTAGTGCTAGTTTACCTCTAATACTTGCTAATTTATCTTTTAAAACAGATAAAGGTCTTAATATTTACAGCCTACTAAGAGCCTTTTCATTGTTTCGTGTTTGTTTGTTTGTTTGTTTTTCCTGAGACAGAGGCTGGCCTCAAATTTGTAGCCTCAAACCTGCTTCAGACCCAAGTGCCGAGATTACAGACATGTGCTACTACGCCTGGATTGCTCTGTGTGTGTGTGTGTGTGTGTGTGTGTGTGTATAATTCATTGTACTTATTCTTTTTTTGTTTGTGTTCTTGAGACAGGGTCTTGTTATGTAGCCCAGGCTGGCCTCCACCTCTTGGCAATCCTCCTGCCACTGCCTCCTGAGTGGCTGGGTTATAATTGTACACTACCATGCCAGCCATTTATATATACTCTTAAGGGTACCATCTATTTTAATTATGCACCTGACAATGTGTTAACCCCATTTAAATCTCCCAGCAATGCTGAGAGAGAAACATCACTTTGCAGACAAAGCTGCAGATGAATTTCCCTTAAGACCAGTTTCCTCTTTCCTTTATTAAGGAAAAATTCACCATTTAAAATATTTTGAAGTGTACTATTCACTATTTCTCAGTATAATCACAATATGTACCCATCACTGCTATTTACATTCAGAACAATGTCATCATCCCCCAAAGAAACCTTGGGCCTTTGATGCCATTCCCCAATTGTCCCAATCCTAAGCTTTCTGTCTCATACATTTGTGAATTTCACATAAATGGAATAATGTCTGTGATCTTTGCGTCTGGCTTCTGTCACTGAACATATTTCTGAGGTTCATCTAATATGCATCCATAGTTCAATCCTTTTTTAGGGCTGAGTAATGTTCCATCATGATTATAGTACTACATCTGTTTGTCTTTTCTTGAGTTTCTGGATATGTGAGTTGTTTCCACATTGTATCTATATGAATAATGCTACTGTGCACACTTGTGTCCAAGTCTCTGCTTGAACATCCATTTCTAGTCTCTTAGGTATATATGTTATTGTAGAATTACTACATATGAGGCTTGCTATGGGCTACATCTAGAGATTCATTCCAAGTTCTTGTCCTGAACAAAAAAATTACACAAAACAGGCCCAAAAGATAGTGAGGTTTTACGTTTATTACAGGTAGGAAAATAAGTACACTCTGAAGAGTGAGAGTGTGTTTTTGTTCAAAGGGTGAGATCACAGTGGCCAGCAGGTTAATGACTGCTGTCTGTTGTATCAACCACTGGAAAGGTCCAACTTTTGCTAATTTTAGCCATTTGCCACCAGGGTGTGGTGGCCTGTGCCTGTGATCTCGGCACTAGAGAGCCTGAGCCAGGAGGATCCCAAGAGTTGGAGACCAGCCTGAACACACAGTGAGATCCTGTCTTTTAAAAACGTGCCATTTGCATTGTGTTCATTTATATTTCACTACTGACTAGTGATATTCAGTATCCTTTAATGTCCTCTTGGCTATTTGTGTCTCTTTGGAGCAATACCTAATTCAAGTCCTTTGACTTTTTAAAAAATTGAATTGTTTTGTTGTTGTTGAGTTGTAAAACTTTACTTTTAGGGCTAACGTTTTTAAAACTATAAATAAAAATATAAAGTAAATAGTAGCACAAAAATAGTGAAGGTAATATAAAGATCAGAAACGAGTTTGAGGGCCGGGGATTTACCTCAGTGTTTCTGTTGCCTGCCTTGCAAGCACAAGGGCTCGAGTTCGATCCCCAGTATCAAAAAAAGAAAGAAAAACAAACGTTTGAGCCACATTGACTCCGGAACTAAAAGCAAGAATTGTGCTCACACCACGTAGATTTAAGTTCCAGCTCTGCCCATAAATAGCCGAGTAAAAAATTTTGGGTGAAAACTAGCATTTATTCTGAGGCTGTTTCTCTGGCTTTAAAAACGGGAATAGGCCAACACCACTTCATTGTTGTTGTGAGAAATGAGATGACGCATATAAAATGCTTACACAGCTCCGGGCACCAGCAAACACAGCACAAATGTCACTTATTACTAAAACGGGCGACAGGGCCTGTGTCTCCGGCTTCGCACGCTGGACAACCGGCACGCCCGCCGCATCGGCCTACTGCGCACGCTCCACCCCACAGCCTGGTCACGGCACCACCCCTAGCACGCAGCTGCCGCTTTACTTCCGCTTCCGGGGGTGGTGAGCGGCTTCCGGCGGCGTGGTCCGAGAACTCGGGGGTCGCGGAGTGCTGGAGGCTGGGGCGTTTGTAGCGGCGGCGGTAACCAGGCAGCTGGCAGGTGGGAAAAGAGGCCTGCCTTCGTCCTGCGCCGGGTCGAACCTCGGGCTGGCTCCATCGCGAGCCACCTCGCTGCCTCTGCCTGGCCTTCCGCCCTCCCCAAGACTCTTGACCGCGGATCCCGCCGGGTGGGAGCAGGAAGAGGTGGGTTCGGTTCCGGTCTGTGCCGCTGCGGAGCTGTGTGACCTGGGGCGGGACACGTCCTCGTGCTGTCTCCCTTAGAAGGTGGAAATCAGCTTTACGGGAATAGCGTGTTAAGGGCAGGAACTGACTTGGTAACGTTAAACACTGCCACCTGCCCTTGCCACAGCACGAGGGTGGTGGGCGTAGCTATCTCTCCCCACTTAAGTAGTTTTGAGTCACAAACCTTTTGAACTCTGGTGATGGCTGTTAAGCCCACCACCATCACCACTCCCCAATGCAGGAAGATTGGTTTACTATTCCAGGTATTTCAGAGATCTCTCTCAATGCTGAGTCTTAGGCTCCAGAGTCAGGCATGTAGTACGCTTGCGTATATTTGCAATTATTAGATAGTGTTCAGTTAATCCTTTTAAAATTTATGAATGTACTTCGTAAAAGGAAGATTAAGTTTTTTTTAAAATTGGGAATTGAACCCAGGGCCTCTGCAAGGAGCTACATCCCAAGCCCTCTTTATTTTGTAGAGATAAGGTTTCCCTAAAGTGACTCAGTTGCCCAGGTTGGGCTTGAATTTATGATCCTTCTGCCTCAGCCTCCCAGAGTGCTGGGATTACAGGTACCACCACACCAAGCTGGATCTTATTAACAAGTTTTTATCATTGGCTTGGAACTGTGCAGCTCTCACTTAAATGTATTGGTTGTGTTACCCTTTCCCTGCCTTCCAAAACATGTTTTTCATTATAATTGAAGTCTGAGGTGATAATGTCTGGACTTTCTCATTCTTGTGTGTATTGCCCTTAAAGGGACTCTCTTAGGGACCTGAGAAACATTGCCAAAATGTCTGACATTCAAGAAGCTACTAACAAACTTCTGGATGTGAACCTTCATGAGAACCAGAAATCTGTACCAGTGACAAAAGAAAATGGCACAAAAAATGAGTCTGAGCATCTTCACATCACTATTGGGGCCACTGTCCCCACTGGCTTTGAGCAAACAGCTGCAGGTGAAATCAAAGAGAAATTGGGGTCATCATGCAAAATCAGCAAAGATCGGGGCAAGATATACTTTGACATTTCAGTGGAAAGTCTGGCGCAGGTTTGAATTAAGCACTATTTAAAATAGTTTTCTAAATTGGTTATAGTGTGCTTACTTTCTAGTTTACAGTCTCACCTTGGAATCTTTGTCGTAAGTCACATGATTTCAGAGTATTACTGCATTTTCTGCTGGGCACTGATTTGGAAATTTGACTATTTTTAGTATGCTATGTTCTCTATATTTATTTGTTTTACAAATATGTCTATCTTAGTTTGCTATACTAGTTATTGTAACATTTCCTGATTGAATTCACCAAAGATCCCTGTGTGACTTATGAAGAAAAATTCTGAGTATCTTCTACACTTTTTCTTTCTTTCTTTTTTTTTTTTTTTTTTTTTTTTTTTTAATTGAACTCCGGACCTTGCACTTGTGAGTCAGGTAGCGAAACCATTGAGCTAAACTCCCAGCCCTACACTTCTTTTATTTACTTCAGCCTCAAACTAAAGTTTAAACTTTGGTGAAGTACAAAAGCATAGGTTTTTCTTCCAATTGTACCAGACATTCTGGCTCAGAAGTAATTAGGAATTATTGCAGGTGAGAAGTGAAGATTAGCAAACTGCCATCTCAGTAAAACAAAAGCTAAAGTAAAACTGATTGCCACATAAGGAAAATGTGGGCATGGATTGTGTCTGGTTTTTTTCTGTTGGATTTCTGAGACAGGGTCTCACTATGTTAGGGCTGGTCTTGACTTTACTATGTCACCCAAGCTGCCCTTGAACTTGTAGTGATCCTCCTCAGCCTCTGGAGTGCTGGGATCACAGGCAGGTACCATCATACCCAGCTTGTATTTGGGTTTTTTTCATCAGTATATTCAAAGCTTTTAGTTTCTGGCATATAGTAGGCATCTAGGAAATATTTGTGGGATGAAATGGTAAACAGTTAATTTGCATCTAATATTTTAGTTAATACCCTGAGCAACTTCATGAATATTTGCACTTGTCCTTATTAATCATTACAATCAAGAAAAATAAGTGATTTGTGTGCAGTCACTCGGCTAGTCATCAAAGGCAGGAGCTCAAACTTAGTTCTTAGTGATATACAGTGTACCACAGAGAGCCATGAGAAAAGTACAATAAACTCAGTGTCTTAATTTTCCCCTTCTTACTCATATTCATGTTGCCCATGTAATGCTTCAGCCTTCAGTGCATCCTCCTCATCTTTTCGTAGAGAAGAGCACCTGATGGGTAATCAAAAAGATGAGAGACTAAGGAGATGGGAAATTTAAAAATAAGAAACATAGGCAACAAGTGGTTTTAAACTATTGTGCATAGGACCGGGGATTTAGCTCTGTGGTGCAGGGCCTGCCTTACAAGCACAAGGTCCTGAGTTCAATCCCTGGTACCAAAAACTAAAAATAAACTATTATACATAAATTTTAAAATATTTAATCACTGATAGTTTGTGTTATCAGAAGCTTTTTCAGAAATCTGTTCCTGACATTTTTCTTTCTTTACAGGTTCATTGTCTGAGATCAGTTGATAACTTATTTGTGGTTGTTGAGGAGTTTAAAGATTTCCAGTTCAAACAAACAAAGGTGAGCTAACAAACACGTTAGCTGAGTTTTAGCCATCTTCCCCAGGGAAGTTATTTCTGCTTCTTACAGTCTGCCTATTGTTTTGTGCTACCATTGCAGCAGCGCTGGGGTTGAGCCCCACCCAGAACCTTACATATGCTAAACTCATGCTTAGCATGAGCTATACTCCTGCTTATATCAGAAATTCTTACAGGCTTTTATAGTAAAATCAGGGATATGCTGACAGTCCATCTCAAAAGTTGCTTTTAAAAATCAGTATTGGAAAGAGCTGGGTGTGGTGGCACACACATAATCCCAGTGCTTGGGAGGCTGAGACAGGATTGCTGTGAGGTGGAGGCCAGCCTGAACTACATAGCAAGGCCTTGTCTCAAAAAACAAAAAATAAAAATAAATCAGTACTGGAAAATACTGAAATTTATAAGAAAAAAGTAGTTTGACCTTGCTTACAAAAGATGTAAACCTTATATTAGCTTTGCTAATTCCTCATTGCTATTCCCCTATAAATAGATAAGATAGGTAGATTGGTTTCCAAAATAGAATTGCTTCTAGAATGTGAACTAAACAAGTGACAGTTTGTGTCATATACAAGTAACGCTTCCTTGCCATCCTGCTTTGACCCTGCTTCTCTAACTTCATTTTTAAAATAAAGCCAAAGTAATATTTAAATATCTTCAGTTGTTAGGACAACAGCTTTCTCTCCAATGTGTTTTTAACATTTGAGTCCTAAATATTCAGCTGCTCCTCAAGCTGGAGGCTGAAAATAGATTGCAGTAAAGCTTTACGTTTTTTTCCACATTTCTTTTTGGTCAGGTTTCCAGAGTCAAATGCTTGAAAACTTTTCTACCAGCGTTACTGCCTATATTAGAAATCTTTCCTACTTCTCTAGTCTTTATTTCTAACAGGGTGATACCCAAAACAATATCCAAAAACTAGTCAAATTTCAGGGCATGGTGATCTAGACCTAATATCAACTATCCAGGTGAGGCCTGGGCAACTTAGTGAGACACTGTTGCAAAATAAAAAAGCGGTAGTGTGTAGCTAGCTCAGTGGTAGTGCTTGTTTAGCATGCCCAAGGCCTTGGATTTAGTTCTCAGTACCACCAAATAAAACAAAAATAATCAAACACAGCCTAGAAAAAATAAGACCAGACCTGAAAAGACTCACTACTGAAAATAAATAAAAAATTTATTAGCTGTAATTGTATCTATTTTTCTTTGTTCTTTTTGCCTTGTCGGTACCAGGGATTGAACTCAGGACCTTTTGTATGGGAGGCAGACATGGCACCACTGAGCTAAATCCCTCCAGCCCTGTAAATTTGACTGTGTGTGTGTGTGTGTGTGTGTTTAGCTGCTGGGAGTTTATTTTCTGCTTGGTGCAAGGCACAGTTGGGAGAGGAAAGCTCAGTGTGGCCTGGAGAGCGAGAGCAGAGCACATCTCTGGCCTGCTGGTGGCTGCTATGTCCACTTGCTGCAGTCACCTAGTCTAGAAGGTGGGTGGGTTTAACTTTCAACTTTAGTATTATAACCCTTCTAAGAATAGTCATTGCCAACTGAACTATACCTATGAAACTAATAGATAACAAGCTTTTGCTGCTAAATAATTTGAATTTCTTTTTGGGGGGAGTGTGGAACCAGGAATTGAACTCAGGACCTTGCATTTGCCAGGCAGGCGTGGCGCCACTGAGCTAAAACCCTGGCCCAACAATTTGAAATATTGATAATCCTGTGCATGAATAAATATTAATAAGTATGTAAAAGAAAACTATCCAACTTAAATTCTTTAACTTACAGGCATTTATTAATATATCCTTAAATTCTTGCATTTGTGCCAATCTAAAATTTGTATTCTGGACCATTTGGCTCTCTAGAGGTAAATTTGATTATGGAATGATTCTACTTGAGCAACCTTTTCAGTTTCCGTGTAAGTAACTACAGAAAAGCTTCTTGGCTGAAGTCAAAGAAGAACAAGAAGACTTACAATAATTTTCAGATTTGTGAAAAGGAAACTTCTGTGCCTATAAAAAATTGTTAATCTCATTAGTTTGTGAACTTAAATTGCAACATGCCCTAGGTTTAAAAAAAACCTCATTTTTTTAAAACATTTGCCTCTGTAGCCTTCATTCTGTTGACCATCAAGTTTTTTATGATGTGTTTTAATTTTCTTTTTAACCCTTAAGGGCATGACTTGGGTATTTTTTTCCTTTCACTTTTGTATTTGGTTAATAGGTTGGATATAAAATTTGGAATTGCTTCCCTTCTTCAAGAATATTGTAGTCAGTGTTCATTCTCTTCCATCTTTAAATGTTGTCATGGAACACTGAATTCATCCTGATATTTTCCCCCATTTTGTTTTGATATTTTTGTTTGATGAGCAAATTATTATTTTTAATCTTTGAAATGTGATCAGCTTGCTCAAATTTGTCTCATTGATAATTCTTTTACAAGAAACTTCAGTGCACTTACATTTCTGGAAATTTTTCTTGACTTATTTGAAAAAAAAAATTTTTAAATTATTTTAGATCCCTTTAGGGAAACTGGTTATACATATGTGAAATCTCTTTTGATCTTGTGTGTGTGTGTGTGTGTGTGAGAGACTGGGGAGAGACTGGGGATTGAACCTAGAGCCTTCTCACTGAGCTACATCCCCAACGCTTTTTTTAATTTTTTATTTCTGTTTTGATATAACGTCTAAGTTGCTAACTTGCCCAGGCTAGACTTGAATTTTGATCTTCTGCGTCAGCCTCAGAGGTGCACAGCTTGAATATTTTTTCATATTTATTATTTTTGTCTGATCCTTTTTACCTTTTTTTGCTCATTGCCAATTTGCTTTACTTTTTTCCACATTCTTTACTGTGCTTTCAGCAGTATCCTGTATGTGCTGTTTTCACTGTGGTCACATTGATTTAATTTTTTTATTCTATATTTTGATGGAACTGTGCAAATTCCCATTCCATCTCTTTCTGGCGGCTCACCCAATTTTCTGTTTTTGTGAGGTGGGCACCAACTCCGCTGAGCTACATCCCTAATCAAATTGTCTGTTTTTGTATCTCTGCTTTGAGCTCATATTTACAAATGTGTTTTCTCTTACTTATTTATTTATTTTTGGGGATTCTGTCTTGTTTTGTTTTTTGAGACTGTGTCTCACTGTGTAGCTCTGGCTGGCCTCGAACTCCCGGCACGTGTCCTGCGTCACCCTCCCAAGTGCTAGGATCGCGGTTTTTCACTGCTCTTTGGCAAGTTTTCTGGTCGCTGCTCTTTGTCTTTTATTCCCTGTTTGCGTGTCTCTTTTTCCTGTTACTGTTTTCATTTAAGTCCTGTGCCGATAACTTAATAATTGCTCCTCTTTTAATGAGGGAGTTCCTCTGAGCACAACTTTGTATAGAGGTTCTTGTAGAGAAAGCCACAGGTGTCCAGGCCAGCAGGAAGTCTTTCTGGCTGACACATGAGAATGTGAGTCCTGATTTCTCTTCTCCATTTCCTCCTCTCCCCTCCCCCTTTTTCATAGCTTTATGGAGGTCTAACTCCCATTCTGTTGGATGAGTCATTTCAACCTTTACTTCTCCCTAAGCTAAAGGGATCAGCCCCCTCAGCATTACTCACAAAGCAGAGCACAGCTGTTCTGTATTCACTTGGGTCCAACCAGCTCTAGATTAAAAATTCTTGAAGATCTTTATTAATCTAGCCAGGCATTTTAAAATGTCACTTCCCCAAACAATATGTCATAACTACTATTAGGTATTAAAAGTAATATTGGACTGGTTTGAAGTATACAGGAGAATGTGTATGGATTTTATGCAAATACTAGTTCTTTTGTATAAGAAATTGAAGCATCTGCAGATTTTGGTATCTGCAGGGGCTCCTGGAACCAATTTCCTGGGGACCCTAAGGGATAACTATTTGTTTCCTAACCCTGCCTCAAGTATGGACTACTTCCAGCTGTTTGTGAATTCTTGTTCAACTTCCATTTCTCTCCCCTACTGTTGCTCGATGCAGAGGAGGTCCAGAGACACTTTCTTCACCACTTCTCTGGTGTTCTAAGTAAAGTGTATTTGCTACCTGCTTTGTTGATGGTTCTTTATAGTACTTGGATCTGCAGTCCTCCCTTCCTGTATCATCCATCACTTGTTTGACCTTCATTGTGTTTGAGAATCCTTATATTGTAGTTTCAGGTTACAAATACTCTGTAGGTCAAGAGTTGGTATTTCTGTTGTATTTTTTTCTTTTAAAACAAGTTTCTAAAAAAATAAAACAAGTTTCTGAAGAAAGGCTGTGCCAATGTTGTCCCACCATTTTTTTTTTTTTTTTTTTTTTTTTTTTC